GAACTCCCTTTGGCCTCTAGATCCATAAAGTTATCAGCTTTGTCAAGTGTGAGCCTTCCCTCAAGTGTGAGACTTCTTTACAAACTTGGTGTTGTCATTTTAAGACTTTAGATCTTTGCATGCACGTAAAGTTTGCAACTTTACGTGATAAACATGCCTTGGGAAGCTGGATCTACAATTTGGAGCCTTAGCATGGCTTAAAAAGCCTCTGTATGGATGAAGGACTGAAGGGACTCGGCGAGTCCGATGAATATTGTTGTGGGCTCGGCGAGTCAGATGGGAGACTCGGCGAGTCGGCTAGGGTTTTCCCAACCTTTGGACACGTATGAACGCCGCGAGTGTAAAGGGAAAACTCGGCGATTTGGCCAAGGAGTTACGGCCACTGAAACTAGGAACTCGATGAGTCACTCAAGTGACTCGGCGAGTTGGCGAGTCAGGCCAGGAACTCGGCGAGTAGTCGTGGGTACTCGGCAAGTTGAGGTCAACATGGACTGTTGACCTTAATAGTTGACTTCGACTTTGACCAAGGGTTTACTATTGGACTTCTGGGGTATTTTGGGAAAATATGAGCATGGTGGGGACAATTAGTCAAGAAGGTCATGATGGGTGTTAACTTATTATTTATGGTGTGATAGTGTGGGATTCCGAGGAGACAGCAGTCAGAGATTTGCAGTACTTCAGCACTACTTGCGAGGTGAGTTATCCTCACTATATCAATAGGTTCTAAGGCACCAAGGCCAGCCCTTTATGGATTGTATTCGGTTATGGCATGATATGTTTATTGATTACATCCTGGTAGTTGGGGTGGTGATATGCTTATGTGTAGCGACCTGGTTAGGTCAATGTCCTGATTATAGGATGATGCTATGTTAGTGACCGGTTAGGTCTGTATCCCGGTTATTGGGATGTTGCTATGATTAGTGATCTGTTAGATTGGTTTGACTGTTATATGATATGAGTTAGCGTATGATATTATGTAGATGTTTGTCTGATTAGGGTTGGGTTGAGGCGGTCATGCTTTATGCTGAAGGCCAACATACCCAGTGAGCGGTCCGGATAGGCTGTAGGCCCTGCGAGGCGGTCCAGTCATGCCGAAGGCTCGGGAGCGGTCCAGATAGGCTGTAGGCCCTGCGAGGCAGTCCAGTCAGGCTGAAGGCTCATTGTGTATGTTGATTTGTATTAGTGGATGGGATATCATTATGGTTATATGAGATTGGTATTTTGGGGGAACTCACTAAGCTTTCGGGCTTACAGTTTCAATTCATTGTTTCAGGTACATCGGAGGATCATGGCAAGACGAAGGCATGATCGTACAGCTCCTCATGATTTGTTTATGTTTCTGGGAAAAACTCTGATATTATACATTTTGAAAACAAAGTTGTAATGATTTTAATGGTTTGAAATGTTTCAAAAGTTCAAATTTGTCTTGAAATTTTTGGGTGTTACAGGACTAGTAAGCTTGTCTTTTGAGAGGATCGACAAAAAAGTGGAGTTGTGAGTGGGTGGAGGAGGATGAGGAGGAGGAAGATCACCATTTTTAGACATCTAAAATAAGAGATAATATTTTCGTTAGTTGATTGTTCCTTAATATTTTTAACCCAAATTTATATTCAAGGTTAGGATCCATAAATACAATTCGAAATTAAGCAGAGGGATGATGTAATCTAATTACGAATTTATTTTAAGTAGGAAAAACACTTAACCAATTTCAATCTAATATGAAATTTCTAGATTTTTCGAGATTCATTAAACTTTTCAATGACATGTTTAATCTTAGATTATGCTCTTCAATTTGTGACTGGGATGTCGATGATCACAAAGAAGATGTGAATAACTATGCAAACCCGCGTGACAACATCGTTCTCATTTATGATCTTACATTGATGTATCGGTTAACCACACATGCTCCATCAACAAACATAAACTCGAGTTATGACATCATTTCGCATTTGTAGTCTCAAATAAGTGTGACGGTTAACCAAAAAATACTCCATTAACGACCCACAAAGAAATGGTGTGCGCTTTCGTGGATTAGCATACAATTTCACATTTTATCCTAAGTAACTAGAGTGTGATTTTATAGAAGCTTCTAGTACTTATATATTATACTTTTAATATGATTATGTTCTATCAAACTCTATCGGCTAACGACCCTCCACCACACAAAGAAGCAGTGAGTGAAAAGAACACCCATTCAACAGTCATTTTATATGTCGTTTCCTTATACATCTCATATATTGTAGCTTCATGAATGAGGCGTACTATTGATTCAGATGAATTTATGATATGCATATAGTATTAATAATCCGATACATATGTATAAGGTGTATTTTAAAACCTTTTAAAAATACATGGTTTAAATTTAATTATCTTGATTAACAACTAATTAATTAGTCTTTTAAACAATCTTTGATTTAATGTTTATCTTTTAATTAGACAATTAATTAAATCATTTAAGAATTAAATAATTACCTTTAATTACACTTTTAGTTAATTAATCTATTTAATCTTAATCCTTTCCTTATATTCGAAAATTAGGGTTTAGGTTATCTAGTTTTAGTTGTTCAATTGTTTAAAACATTAAAAATAATAAATAAGGAAACTAGGAAACCCTAGAAATCTTCGGAAAAAAGGAAAGGAGGAAAGGCAATTTTCTAAAACCCTAAAGGGCTAGGTATTTTCGATTTTGCTGGTTTCTTTTAGGGTTTCACAGATATGCATATTATAGACAAAACGCTAGGCTCTGATACTACTAATGGGTTTTCTAGATTACTTCTATGTTTTTGCGGAATTTCACATAATAATTAAGGGCACATGCAACCTAGAAATCTATGGTTTTTCTCATAATAACAACATACTTTGAAAAACTAAATAAACTTAGCTGAAATCAAAAATTACAAAGTTTAGGTTATAAACCTTGTGGTATTGTCGAAAATAACAACCAATTTTGAAGAACCCTTCTTTTGGAATGTTAGCCCCAATAACATGTAAGTCTCTAATGTGTCACATCCAACCCTAGGATAAAAAATTAGAGATATAGGAGAAGGAATTTTTCGAAAATCCTTATGAATAATGCAGGTTTTTTCAAGCCTTATAAAGATCCATATTTATAGTTGTAGAAAACCATAATTTGAATTTAAAATAATAATATTTTAATCCAATTCAAATTACATTACATATCAACTAAATAAGACTTCTAGAAACCTTAGAAGGGCTTCTCAAAACCGTCCCCTATAGGGAGGTTTTAGAATATCTTCTTTGTTCAACTATTAAATAATTGCATTTTAACTTATATACCTTTAACTTATATACCTTTAACTATTTCTAATTAATATATTGTTCATATAATATATTAATAAATCATTTATCTCTTTCTCAATGTCAATCCAAACTATGTTCTGATTATGAGGACAACTCAAAAAGGATTTTTACTATTATTCACTCAATTATATCAATTTAATTAAGACATTAAACACTTTAATCCAATAGATTTTCACGTATTTTAAACATTTTTCATAATTTCAATGATCTATATGTTGACGATTTTTTTTATTTAAATGTTTAATATGACAAGATACCATCCATGAAAGAAAATATTGCACAATGATAAACAAATGGTGCCCACTTCGGTTTACGTAATTCAAGCAAATCAATAGAATCAAATTTAAAGAATGTTATTCTTTATATTTAGATGTTACATTTTGAAGTTGTAAAATGGCATCCCTTTAATACCAATTATAACATTTTACTTTCAATCTAATTACAGTTACATTTTATATATTTGTAACATTTTTTGTTATCAATTATAGCATTTTACTTTATATATATATATATATATATATATATATATATATATATATATATATATATATATATATATATATATATATATATATTAAAAAGAGTTTCTACATTTACTTCGGTTTGATGCTGTAACATGAAATCTTAAGGTACCTTATATCTACCGCTCTTTCCCGAGGCACGGAAAACCCCCTAATTATGTATTCACAATTGTTTGGTATACTTCCTGTGTGATTGGGTGAGTCTGTACGTGTTTGATTTTTTACCACCTTTAATAATATGTGTTTTTATTAATTGATTATTGATCAGATTTGTTTTTTCTTTATATGGCAAATAGTTTAATAGGACAAATTGGCCACTTTATCCTTGAAGTTTTGAAAAACACAATGTTAGTTATTTTTAACAATATTTATCGATGGGTTAAAAATGGCAAATAGATTAAAGTTTTTAGTGTCTTAATACATTGACATTTTCTGAATTACCCATATATATATATATATATATATATATATATATATATATATATATATATATATATATATATTAAGTAATTATGTTCATATAATAATAAAAAAAAATCATATATGATGATCGAAATTAAATGTCTAACGTATTAAGGTTATTAAGTCTAAAAGAAATAGCCCCAAATATATTAAACTAAGTTCAGTAACTTACCCATTAATGAAAAAGTATATTGTTTATTTACATCCATAACCACCTTATATGTATATAAAACTTATGAGCTATAAAATATTATTATATGATAAGTGTTTGGAACGATGAACGTAAATGATTGATAAAATGATTTGTTAAACAAGCACTAAAAGGCTTTTGTGGTTTTATAACTAATACGAGTGGACTACAAAATTTCATGTCACCAAGGCATTCGTTTTCTTGTGTACATGTCAATCGTTTACTTTTGATGCAAGGAACTTGGCTCACATAAACGGATATGCATGCATTTCTAAAAGACTAAAAGATATTAACGATATCATTTGTTTGCAAGAAAAAAACTCTCCCGAATTTACCCCTGCTTTTAATGATTATTTCTCATTTAGGGTTTTGCCTATTTTCTTGGATTCTAATTTGTACAATTTCTATATCATCATGTTTTAATTACAAGCTTTTCTCACTAAGCCCGTTATACTTTGGATTGTGTTTGCAAAAATGAACCTAAGAGGCTAAGATGACATTTTCGTTCATCTAACCAAGATTTGTTGCTTCTCGTGTTTCGTTCCCGCTATTAATCTTTTTGCTGTGCTTCTAAATGGACACGTGGAACTCACGAAACCATCCACTAAGTGGAGATAAGTCTTTAGGTCGTGACATGTGGCAAAGTTGGTTCTTGTAAGGTAAGGCGATGCATTGCTGCTAAGCCGAAGCTCTTTTCCCACGTCAGCGTATCTGAACCAGTCGCTTTCGTCCACTCGCTTTTGCAGCCACCCTGGCCACCCGGAGACGTGAACTTCTGATTTCGACACGTCGTTGCTGGTGCTACCGTCAACCAAGAATCCTGGGACTTTCGTGATCACATCGGTTGAGTTCACGATTCTGAGGATTCGGGTGCCGCTGTTTTCAAGCTGTGATCGGAAGTTTCGGTTTCCGACACGTGGCCCTCCGAATGAAACGACAGTTACCATTGGTGAGTGCTTGAATTTGGAGGTTATGTCGTAGGCTGTGAGGGTGGCTAACGCCGCACCAAGGCTGTGGCCGGTGATGGTGACACTAAGAGGCTCGTTCCCGTAGGTTTCGATGATCCTCAATATCTCTTCCCTCACCATATCTCGTAAACTTGGACACGTGGTGGTGGCTGTTGTGTACATACTAAGAAAACCTTTTTGTACCATTGCTCTTTTTCTCTCACCTGCGACATCATTAGGCAATGATGTCAAAGTGGCACGTAGATTCTCAACCCACTCAAGACACGTGGCGGTTCCCCTGTAGGCAATCACCACGTCCCTTCTGCCCAACCGAGCGATCTCTTCCTCATCGTTGCAAACAGCCACGTAACCAATCCAACTGGAATTCACGGAAGCCTTGCTTTCAATCCAACTTGGTAGCTGAACCCCACACGTGGCATGCAGACTTTTAGTCACCTTATACCCACTTCCCCCTAATCCACATCTATCCAACAGTGAGTTTTGCGAGTACTTAGACATTGCGTAATCCGGCGACGACGTGTCAAATTCGAAACTCCTGTATGCCGCCTCCACGAAATCCCCATATCGGAGAATCTCGTGCCGGAGCCTATCGTCGAGAGGGTCAAGCAATCCTTCCCAATTCTTGATCCCTTGATACTCTCTCCACTTCTGACCCAACTTCGCCACGTGGTTCGTTACCCGTGGTTGACCGGACTCGCTATTCCAAGAACTCTTTACACTTAGCTGCCTGGTTCGATGCTTCATGCCAGTATTACAGTGTGATAACTGCTTCGTCCGATGTTTCATGCTTGTCGTACACTGTGAGATCTCACCAACAAGGCTCGAGGCTCCGGCTAGGTTACATGGTTTAACCATGCCAATCGCACCCTTCATGATCAGTCTTTTTTCTTTTGTATCTAAATGTTTATGTATATCTTAGTTGGATTTTGGTTTTGGATGCTCCAAGGGAGGATGGATTGTCTCACTTGAATCACACTTTGGTTGTATGTAAAAGTAGCATTTATAGTTGCAGAAAATAGAGAGAGAAAGAGAGGACGGTGGAATTAAGGTTTGTTGAGTTCAATAGTCATGAGAGATGGGTATACTTTTCGCGTATGTGTGTGTGCGTGTGTTTTTTCTTTAGTTTTTATAATAAATTTTGAACTTTATATGGGAGTTGAAGATTTTTGACCGGGACCCACAGAATAACACTATTAAAGTATGATCATAATGAAAATTTTAGGATCCATTAAGCTCCGACCATATTTTTGAAGAAGAAATATACGACACACGACTGCACGTGCATCTCACAAGACGCGTTGAATTTCTAAAAGGATGAATTTCCAAACGTAGAACGGGAAAACCATTAACATTTAACAAACATGCCTTTGCCCTAATAATTTAAAAAAAAATAATAATCGAACAAATATATATATATATATATATATATATATATATATATATATATATATATATATATATATATAGAGGTTCAAATTAGAACCCAAAAAGGTTAAGAACCATTTTTTTAAATATTTTCATTAAGAGGATTTTGGATAAATCAAACATTAATATTATATTAAGCAAACTTTTTTATTCCCTAGTTTACAACTAGTTGCCACTTGTTGTTAGACAGCCGCCAGACCACATTCGGACCGCCACCGGACCGCCGCCGAATTAACACCAAATTCAATGACATTTTCTGGTCGTATTCTCAGCTTAATAAAGCAATTATTGTATGTTTCTTTTCTTTGGCAATACTTTTT